GTTTATATAATGAATTTTATATCACTATTCGTATTCATCACTCTAGTACTCAATTTCCCTCCCAGACATCTACTCGCAAATTATCACTATTTACGATCAAGTGATCAAGTTGGTGTTCGAAATCTAAGTTATGCAAAAAGCGCCGCAGAATACATGCGTTTTACCAACTCCAAAATACATGGGAGTGAATTTTGACCAATCAAATAATTCCGTAGTAAATAGCAAAATCGGCTATTTACAACAATTATTAGGTAATTGAATGTTGTAAGTAGACGGGGGAAAGGTATCATTAATAAGCAACGAATCTGTAGAACGTAAATTGAATATAATAGGAACCGATTTTTTATTAATGCCGACGCTATTGTACAATAATGCATAGCACTAGTGTGAGACAAAAATAGTATGTAGAACAATTTTGAATTAAGACGACGTTAAAATTACAGTACCAAATTTGCATAAATATGCATTATTCAACAGAGAACCTTTTATGACTATCAATTTGGACAGGCTGTATTGTTCTACTATATAAAACTAATGTGCTATGTCAGTAACAATAACCATAACATTGGACGTTCATAGAATCTTCAATAAATGAGAAATTCGTTTGTATACTAAGATAATAAGTTAGATTTTATTCATATTAAAACTAAAAACATCTCACCAAGTGCATCAAGGGCAGATGTTATATACAGAAACGTTTTCTTGAAACAAAGTTTAACTAAACTCTATTCTCACTGAGCAGAAATGATCACAAACAAAAGCCATGCAATTTGGTATACTCATCATTATGGTATGAACAAATTCAACTCAGCCAATCTGCATTATCTTCATTTCTGTCCTACTGGGTTTATTCTCTTACTAATCCCAGCCATGTGAAATCTCTCTATTCCAGCCCCAGCCTGCATTATCTTCATTCTCGTCCTGTTGATGGTATCTCTGTCTTCTCCCACCTGAACTAGAGTCCCGTATTTTCTCTTCCTTACGATTTCCTTTCTGTCTTCTCCAACCTAAAATAGCTGTAGCATCCGGTCTATTCTCTTCCTTACGATTTCCAATTTGTTTAGACCAATCAGTAGTCGGCTCAATGGGTCTGATTTCCTCGATTACCTTTACGGACCTTACATTGGAATCCTTCTTATTCATGTATCCTCTCAATGGGTGATTTCGGCTTGTTGTTTTATTTTTATGCAAATGATGGGCAAAGATATCATTTCGCAACTTTCGTGGTAATAATTCGAGGTACAAGACAAATTTCTCGAATAACTCTTCATATGCAATGTCGACAAATCTTACATGAGGTATGCAATCAGCCACCAAGCCTTTGATTGTGTTAACCTCGTCGGGCGACCAATTGTTTGGGTCGTTTGTAAGTCCAGGAACTTGGCCAATAGCCCATTCTATGACTGCCATCCAAATATCACCTTCTTTCATATTAAGATCATCGTTCTGGAGAAGGGTAATCAAAGTCTCCTTTGGTAAGCTTGAAAGATTGTTAGATTTAAAGATAATATCTGGATGTGAAGCCATGGTTTGATTGCAATAGTCTAGAAGTTTGTTTAATCTGGCTGTGGAGAGAGCAAATTTCTGAACCACAAGAATATTTTGTTGAATCAATTCCTCACTTTTAGTAATCAAAAGGTGTTCAATTGCAGTAATAAGATCATCCAGCTCAAGCTTGACAGCTCCTTTTAAAAGGTTAATCCAGTCTACATCTTCATATCTGTCATAGGACATTTTTCCAGTGTAAATAAACCTACATACATTTCTTAGTAAGCTTGATAATCCCGCACAAAAGTAATATTCAGCTTCATGGGGTTTGTTTTTACCTGAGCAAGACTTCAAAAACGTCAGGCTTCACATCTTCAATTGTTAAGGTTGTCTTTTGGATCTCTTTGGACGCTTTCGTATCTCCGGTTAAGCTATCCACAAAATATTTGCTTCTCGTACATAGTACTAATGAATGAGCGAGAAATATTTTGCAGTTCGGCTCCTTTCCAACTCGGATTGAAAAATCTGTATAGTTTCCACTTTCATAGACTTTCCAGTAATCAGATGAAAGACTTGATGAACAATCGATTACTTTGGCCATTTCGAAGGGAGAAGATGATCCTCAAGACCACACACGACGAAAATGATTGGGTACATGGGAAATGCGTACCACAAGTATTTGTAGCACATATTTTAATGGTGCTTGATTTCGGGTCCTAAAGTTACAATAGTGATATGATAGTACTCTGTTAATCATGACTTCACAGGCAGGATACAATCATTGGTTAAACTGAGTGGGGATAACATAATTAAGTTAGGTTATGATCACTTAGTATATTAATATGACCGCTTAGCCAGTTTTAGCAGATTTAACTCGATTAGCTCTTATTATTATTTAGACATCAGTTTTAGCAGATTTTTTTTTCAATTATCATCGCAGGCTAACTCTGCAAGCCTCTGCAGCAAACCAAACCAACCCTGCAATGATGATGCAATCACAAACTCACTATCACTAAGTATATAACTAAGGTATAATCTAATGGCCATATCTAGCTAAATTTTTGTTATTTGACCAAGTGATGATGGTTTGCATTTTTCATGGCACCATTGTCGAGTACTCCCAAGAATCAAGGTTTCACCCTCAACATCCGTGACGCATCCCGATTCCACAATGTTACAAAAATGTACCATTTTACCGAGTGCGAGGAGATCCTACGTGCGGACATTATCATTCTAGTTTTTTCATTTCGAGAAATTTGAGTGGTGACATTAGACGCATCCCGTTGGTTTTTGTTCTGAAAATCTATCGGTTGAAATTTTTTCTATCTTGATCGAAGGTGACGGCGCACGCACGTAATAGGCTCCTTCCATCCCATCCCCAACCACCGATCAAAATCGATCCACAACTCTTATTCTTTTTTTTTACCGTCGTGAGATAAGTCGACGTCATGCTTTCCTATTTTGATTATTTCCTCGTCAACTAACTTAAAAAATTTCGTCGGAACGTTTGATACCTCGACGCCACTCTTTAATTTAGCTTCTCGAATTAATGTTTCGGTTAATAGATCTCTCGTCGAAATTTCTTCGACAATTTTGATGCACTCCAACGCCACGCGATCTGACAAACAGAGCGGAACACTGTTCCATTTTTCTCGATGTAATATATCTTGTCGCTCGTACACAGTCCCCGAGTTGCATGCTGAGTTCGGGCGATGTAAGTCGATTTGCGGAGCAAATAATATATTAGGTGTAAATCTAACGTGCAGAGCGTGCGGCTTTGCCGCGAAAATATGTAATACTATTCAAGATAAACCACACTAATTTATTGGACAATAATCATATAATTTCCGTCACGAAATCGCAAAGATACATCTGGAGAATTTATTAGCTCCGATCAATGAATAAAAAATCACGTGCATGAACAATTGTTCACGCACGCCAATCTCTTTTGCCAAGAATTTTATTATAGTATTTTTTTCGATGTAATTCAAACGTCGCAATAGCGCAGTAAAGTTTATTTCGATCTCCATAATCAACGACCTACAATCGAACTTAATCTATCAGATCCTATTTCGTATCAATAGACATGGAATAACAATTGTATCTGTGCCCATTATTTCTCACAAAAATTTGGTTGATCTTTGGTTGTCTCCACACAACCCATGATCATTTTCTATTTATAAATAGAAGGTAATGAGCAAATAGTATATTTCTCTGATGAAATTGATAAATACGGAAAATAAATCATACCTTCATTCTTCGCACAACACATTAGCCAACACCCTGATAAGATCTTTTATTGTCACATATCCCTTAGGACTACTCATTTGTAAAACTTGCAATTTGAGGCCTACTCAAATTAAATCAGTTTATTTCGACAAACTACTAGAAACTGCAAACTCATTATTTTACTTACCCGTGTGAAGCATGCCAGCGATTTGCAACTTACTTTCGTTTCTTCGACGACATGGAGTTTTGCGTTCTTTATTTATCTACACCTATGATTGGACGCTAAAGGTGTACCTCTTCGACGATATGGGCTTGTTTACTTAAGCATACAAAGATATCGTGCATGACCTTCGCCAGTTTAAACCCATCAGTCAATAATTTGGTTTCATCAAACTTCTTGGTCACTTCAATCGCTTCATACTCAACGTCACCAACGTACATCCGGAATATTCTATTCATCTGATATCCCACCTTTTTACGTTCTGGCTTTCTGCAACGCATACCTGACTGTTTCTATTCCAATCACATCACAGAGACCGTGATCAACGATAAGTGACCACACATTTATGTTATACCAAGATTTGAGATGTGGCTTTGCAGTGTTTCATTAGGGTCTTCATAATACGTAAGACTTGCAATAAATGGAATATGTCATTAAGTCTTTGTAACAATATTGCTGATAAAAAGGCAAATACTCACAACTTCTTCATCACAATTTTGGCCATTCAGCATCGTAATGTTTAACCGATCATAAGGTTTATTATCATTTAGAAGGGATGTTGTTTTTAAGACTCGTCTCAGATCACTTGTTATTTTAACCTGAAATTGGCAATAATATCAAGTTTTGGACAAATCGAAAAAAAACAACTAGTTATCCTCAACTTACATCTGAAAATCGCATCATAGAGTCTGCAAAAAGCACGATCAACCTCTGGCAATTTTTTGACTGCATGCTGGATACTATAAAATCTATTAATGCAGTAATCAGAAATTGGTGTGGTTATACTATTGAGCGTAAACGGAAAAAAGAAGGACCAAAGAACGAATATGGAAACTACCTGTTGGATCAATCGCAACCCATATAATGGAATGAGGTGGGAACTCCAACGCTTCCGTCGTATAAATCGGAATCAATTAATGCGCAAAGTGCACAGCTTTGCCGGCCGTAAAAGTTAAGAGCTTCTCGACATAACATCCACCAGGTGAGACATCAAGTATGTATTTTTAATAGTAAACTTGTATACTCTGCACAAGAATTGTGGGCCACCAAGGTATAATTATTACAGAAATATATTTGCTTCGCAAAGCGATTATGTTGTCTAGGAAAAATATAATACATTTTCCAGCTAATGCAAATAATACACAGAGTCCATGCGATACAAATGTAAAATTGTCAACTGATATTCCTCAGCTTTCTTCATGACCCTTTAGGGTCACCCCTTCGGGGGCCTGGTTAACTTTGCCTTCCTGCTTTTGCGATTCATGACGATGTATTCACATTCATATCATCAAAAATTTCGCAGGTGATTTCACTCTTATCTTACAGCAAGGAATTGCAAATTCATTATCATAGTCAAGTATAATTTATTTTTTCCAGCTAGCTCAAATGATGATGCAAACACGATTTTGTTATGTATTACTTGTTTTAATATCCAACCACGTTCTGGAGATCAAATGATATGACGACACAAATGCAAAATTATTGTTATTATCCTCGGCTGACTAGCTTTGGCTTTTCTCTTTGGCTAGAAATGCCTTGCTAAATGTTTTGCTAAATGCCTCAGCTGAATAACGACGCAACCGTCATCCTCTCGGCTCGATGGTCCGACCAATCATATCGCTCGTCTGAATTAATTTTTTTTCTCCCAAATGCAAATGCAAACTTGCCATCACTTGATCAAATAATGGATTTTTTTCAGCTATCTTTGCAAGCAACTCCACAAGTTAACTCCGCAATAAGTTAGCCCGTGCAATAACGATGCAAACCCATCATCACTTGGTCAAATAACAATTTTTTGTTTTCAATTATCATCGCAGGCTAACTCTGCAGGTTACCCCTGCAGCAAACCAACCCTGCAATGACGATGCAATCACAAACTTACTATAACTGAAGTATAATCTAATGGCCATATCAAGCTAAATCTGCTACAGCTGATGTCTAAATAAGGGCTAAATCGAGTTAAATCGGCTAAAACTGGCTAAGTGGTCATATACTACTAAGTGATCATAACCTAACTTAAGTGGAAATAACATAACTATATTATTTCCACTAACTGTTTGATTAATGTTTTTTACATAAACACTAAATTATTTGAGATTGTTTGTGCGAATAGTAATATTTTTACCGACAACAAATGCATCGGCCAAATTACGTTATACATTCGCATTTTATAGAGCTACCTGTACCTGTTAGTAGGCCTGCTTTTTATGCAACATTAAAAACAAAAACCTCAACATAGTTTAAGAGAATTCATGCTCTGTAAACTATAAAATGTTTCCTAAGATTTGATACAATTGAATGCAGAAGCCACAAACGATCCGAGTAAATACTCTAAAAAGTTCAAATATTGAAGGGGATAAAATGATATTTATTCACATCACACTGGAATTTGACTTTACCAAAATGTTCGCCCGCCCCAAGGTTATTTAAATTGAAAATTTCATTATAGAAAGCTATAACTTGAACTCAGTCAGATAATAATCATGTTGTCTTAAAAGTGCTTGTCTTATATTGATTCTCATAAATGTAAGATGATACTTAATGGGACAACGTCATAGTTATAACAAAAACAGCCCGCCATTGCTCCATACTGTAAAACAAGACTACTACTACATGTTTCGACATATTTACTTAGTTAATTTGCCACAATATTTAAACCCGTTGCTTTATCATATTGATCAGCAGTCGATAATAGTGGCTTGGTGAGCTGCTAATAACAAAAACGACATATGTCTCAGAAAAATAAATTTGTGGTTGGTTGGTTGAGTTGGATCGTCGGAGTCACATATACACCGTCGATATTAATTTGGTCATTGAAATAAGGTTGGCTATCGCTGATCAAACCATTATTAATCATATTATCAACTTGAAATGTATCATTGCGTACATAATATGCATTATCGAAATTCAAGCCTTCGTTAACGCTACTGCACTGTATGTCATAGTCTTGAACAACTGTACAATTATTTGTCTGATAATGTTCATTTTCGTAAACGTTATCCTGTGTGCAAACCCCTCTTTCATTTGCTTTGTTTGCATTATGTTTGATGTACTCACAGTTTTCGAACGTATCTTTATCCAATTGTACGAACACCCACTTTTTCTTTTTTCTCTTTGGTCTTCCGACTTTTGGTTTGTATTGATAATCGGGATAGGTTTCCTTGTGTAATTTAAGTGCCAATTTTGAAAGTAATTTGAAATACTTTTTTACCACGTCTGGCTGCTTTTTCCAAGATTTACTAGCAGACTTGGAAATGTCTTGGACAGTATGCGGGTGGTTAGGATCGAGTCTACGCAACCGGTTTTCGAAATCTTTACGGAATATAACCCAGGCGTTTTGTGGACGAGGCGGAGAATTATTTTCGGTATTGTTTTTGTTTATTGGGTTAAGAAGTATGTCGACAGAAGTGTCGACGTTGAAGGGCGGGTCGAGCAAGAGTTTGCTCTCAGAGGGAGTAAGGGTATTGATATACTTGAGTATAAAGTCTATTGAAAGCGTAGGGGAAGAAAATTGGTTTGCGAGAGAGTAACTAGCTGTTATTGGAATATAAGAATTGCTCATGGCAAAGTTTGGTTGTTGATTACTATCAATGAAAGAAGCGGATTGGCGCATCGATACAATAATTGCAAGGTAGTGGTTGTAGTAATAGTATTGGCAGTAGAAGTTATACTTTAAATTACTCAAGTGATTACACTCGGACTCTAGCAATGCTGTTATTGAGCTTTTATTGCTAAGCAAGCGTATGTGATTGTGGGGAAAAGCGAGCGTAAATTTATATAAAATATGTAGAATGTGGGCTGAAACATATAGACAAAAGCAGTAGAATAATGACGAAAAGTACTCAATAATACGTTAATTAAATACGTGTAATTAACGTATATACTCTTAGAATAAGTTTGCATATAAAAAGTAACTAACATTATATTATAAGCATAATAAATAATGTAATCAATCGAATATTTTACTTTTAATATTTCACCATTTATTTATTAAAACATTAATAAAGTGTTGGGCACATCTATATTATATTGCAAAAATGATATTCAATGCATGACTCAGATCATGGAATTCCACAGCAGAATTCCATATTATGTAAAATTGATCACTTGGTATTTGGTATATAAACTTTCTCATGTGCGTGTAAACTAATGAATTGAATCCCGATTATCTGCGAGTATCGGGCGGATCTCTACGGAGAGACAAGGTTAAACAAATACTTATTACACTAGATTGAAAAAAAACAAATGCGATAATTGGCTGTGACCCCGCACACTTAAAATGGTTGTGTGTGAAAAAAAACGTGGGGTCGCTCTGGCCATGGTGCAGAAAAGACTCGTGGTTTCTTAATCGGGGCTTTTCAATAGAATTGTACGATAATGTCTTCCGCATCGGCCCGATTGTGCTCCCATTTCGCAAACAGTGCGTATATGCTTACATAAACTTTATCAAGGTAAATGGTTCTACATACAAGTAATGTGAATGTTATTGTAGTCGCCTTTACTTGGAAACTAACATCATCAAAAATGCCATCAACGTACTGAACGAAGCAATTGAAAGTAGGCTTGAAATTATTCTTAGTTGTACCTTTACTATCATTCATGTGTATTAGAACCTAGCTATATTTAGTCGGAAAGTTTTAAACAAAGAAAATGAGATCTATTGTGCTTGTGATCTTTGTGAAATCTGCACCCATAAAACCGTCGTCAAATTAGAAACATTTACCGCTCTGATGGGCAAAATTTTTCCATTTCTTGTTTCAAATCTACAAACGCTTTATCTCTGTGGATTTAGAAAAATAAAGTTCTGTAAACTTTGCTGCTTCTTCTATTCCAAATGGAAAACAGCGGCAAAAGAAGCAACACAACGTTGCGACGTTGATTGAAGCGTGGAAAGAAAAACAAAATGTATGACGAAATGACGTTGTATTGTAATCACGTACAGGAGTGGGAATGTATTGAATAGTTATTAACTATTAAGGTTAAACGTTTTTATGCATCTTCGGAGATGAATGTTAACTCCTGACTAATGATTGAGCTAAATATATCCAGCCTTTTTCCGTAGCATGTCTCGTATCAATATCGGTTTAGATACTAAGATAATAAATACAGCAAATCTTGACTTTACATTTACGCAATAATTTAAAGTACTGTCTCAATGGAATTCATATTGTCATGTTGCGTAAATGCATTACAACTGACGAAATTGCCAATAATATTGTTTTAGATTGGTGGTAGTCTAGTCTAATAGATAATAATGTTAATCAAATATTAACTATATGAAAGTTCATATATTAAGGTAACTGACTTTCAAACATCCAGAATTCATCATGAGTACCATATTACGGTCTTATCTAAATTGTTCTTATCTAGATATAATGAACATACTTCTAATAACAATATTCGAAGCACTCTTCGACTATTATTATCATAGAAGAAAAATTGAATGTAAATCTCATGTTTCTATGAATCCGATTCAGGTGAGATACAAAGGACAATATAATATTGTAAATGATGCAACTTTAAACTCAATACACAATATTTTATTCATTCTTCTCCAATTAACTGTTCACAGTTACGTGGAAGACTGTAAAGGAAACTCGTATAATCAATTTAGTCGTCAGAGCAAAATATCTATACGCATGTACATTAATATCGAAACTGATTACGTCGAATAATGTCATTTGTCAACATAATATTCTGAGGCACCAATAATATTTCTTTTAAATTTTCAGACACTCCAACATTCTTTAGTAGTATTATAATTAGTGTATGAAACATGATACGACCGAGAACATCACAATAAAGTCAATGTATATAATAAGTAAACGTATGATTCCCCCCTTGATGGCTGTTAAGTGAATGTAATTAACACAAACCAACGACTATTATTACGAAAAACTTACAATTTACACTCATCAGACTGTTGGTATCATTACACAGCATAGCACGATCTCCGTTCCAGCTTATTTTTAGAAAAACAATACCAATAATTGTTTCTTTGTAGTAGAATATTTCTCAACGCAATCGATTCCTGAACCCGAACAAATCAAATCAAAGAGTTCTTGGCATTTGCTTTAAATGATTGTGTACCATAACATATTGTTTATCGCAAAGATGCATTCTGCATCGCCTTGAACAATAGCAGTGTATGTTGTCCCACGGTCGACTAGTGACACTTGTACTGCCCAGACGTAGTCATTAATTCAGTAATTTCAATGTATAATGTCGAGATCGCTGTCTTCTAATGATTGGTGCATTGGATACGTACGTGTGACACAGCGGCGCTAACCTCGAGTTACACGACGCATTGAAAGTCAGACGACTTAACATTCATTTGACGCTATACCAAAAAAGGCCAGATAAAGTATTTTAAGAGACGTGTAACTTTCACTTTATTTTGATACTCAAATACTATACTCTAATAAGTATGTATTACATCCGAACAAAAGTCATGTGGTGTAAGTATTGATGATATACCTCAGCATCAAAATGCTACTAAGAGAACTTAGTGTGACAAATAGCGTATGTCGGATAGGAAAAAGACTAATAACAGCATTTTATTATTACCGCATAAGCGACTGTCGTTGTCTGTGGAAATTAAAATTTGGCAAATACTAACTTTGGTGTGCTAATATACCAGGGAGACCAATTGACATAAATGTACGTCGTTTGAGAATTGACTCTTATCTTCCTACTAACAAGTTTTAGTTAATGTAATGTCTGTGATAGCGCACGTGCATTAACGCTCTGGCTAGCAATGTTTCTAGATTGCGCACGCTTGTCCTTAATTATTCCCAGTTGCCTACAAAGAAATTATGCTCGATTTGGTAGTGCCTTAATACTTAGTTCAATAGTGTGTGCAAGCGTGCTTTTTAGTTTGCTCGTAAGTGTATATAATTGTATATGGAATGTATGCTAAACTAAAGCAAATTGAATGAAGAAAACATCAATTTAATAGATAAGTGTTTCCGTTTACTTTATGTTCTGCTTCATTAACAATCGTATATGTGTTATTGTTAGCTCATAATCTAGGTTGAGTGACAATTGAATAAGCAATCGTTCTATCATAGCATAAGTATTACATGAAAGTCTTTATAGTATTACGGGTGTCTGAGAGATTTTTGCGCACATCTGTTTGACTGAACACATGCGCGCAATCGCACAGATAGCTTAAACGATCAACGGTGTGTAAATTTAATTTAATACATGTAGGTTCATGGTATCAGCAAATATTGATTTTCTAACACGGCTGAATGTGACTGCTTTACACGCTAATGCAATGCCATGCAAGAATACGTAAATTGGATAATTAAAACAATTATGGTATAAGCAACTTAGTAGTCATATCGTTACTATATCGTCAAATAACTTGTCTCAAGCCATAGGCAAGAAAAAAAAATCTTTATTATGCAGGTAAACATTATTGGTTATCGTAAGTTGGTTGTCTTTACCAACATTTTACAAGACAACGTATCAGAACACTGGTTGTAAAAAGTAAAAAATTCAACATTTCACGAGTTTGTGAAAACCACTCTATCTCTCAAATCTAGAGGTATAGAAATGTTATTTAATTTAACACATAGACATGTTATGAGTAATGTACCGTATTATGTTAAATTCACAGCATGAGCAGATTATTGATTTACTGTATATTTGTCGTACATACCATAGTTACCATATTCTCTGTAACATTATCTGTACATTATGTATTATTAGAATCTTGGAGAGTATGTTTAAGGTTTTGTTCATAACAAAGCTGAAAGAACAGAACCTTACATCAGTAGAAGCATCTGAATATACTAACAAGTAAGAAAAAAACTTTAAGGTATTGTATGTCCGATTGTTAAACACAACTTGAATGAATGGGGTGACTCCTTTTATCGCTTATTAAACAACTATTTGAACTAAAGACAAGGACTTCTATAAGCATTTTTGAGCAAATATCTTACAAAGTTTGACATGTGTAAGTTGCTTAATTTGATTTTCATTTTTAACGGTTACTACTGCACTACGGCAACATAACAATGGCAGGATAAGAGCTTGCTGTCTTGCAGAGCATGCTTATCATTGTTGATATATCGATTAACTTGGTCTTAATTACGACAGCCCAAATACCTGCCGATAAATCCAAATAGCGAATAGTATAGTCCATCACAGATGATCATGTTACACAGATAACCGACACCGATAACCGATAAAAAACTTTAAACTTTGGCAATGTTGTATCGATTCTTAAAACTTTTACGAAATGAGTAGTTTTAATTTATCCTCAAGCCTTTCATCAGACTATGAAAAGCTTTACAAAAGTGGCAAATATACGGATGTTTCAATCCACGTTGGACAAAGGCCAAATAACAGTATATTTTTTGCTCATACATTGGTATTATGTACCAGAAGCTTATTTTTTGAGAATAGATTAACTGGGAATACTGGGACGACAGCTGTAACGGTTGAAGATGTGAAGCCTGACGTTTTCGAAATATTACTCAGGTATTATCTTGTGTAAATTGTATGCACAATGTCATACTCATTATCTCACTTAATGATTCTGTAGTTTTATTT